TGTCTTTCTTCTTTCTACTGGAGTATGTCGGTGCTGCAGTGCGTTTGGATTCTTGCGAAAAGGGTTCAAACACAGCATCTCTTGTGAGTGTGTGGATCATTAGTTTTGAAGTTTAGGATTTGAAAACGTCATATCTGCGAAGAAAAAGCTGAATTCGCTTCCGGACGAAGCTCCATACCAGATTTGCGAGCAAAGTCAAACGTCCAGTGGACCAAATATATTCGTTTTCAGATACGCGCTACGTTCGACTTTTTTGAACAGATCTACTCCCTAGGCTCGTCTGTCAGGAAGCGGTGTGCCAGAGAATTGATTGAATCAATTTGGGATTCTGATGTTCACAACACGAAGCTGTTCTTGAACTTAGTTACAATGCCACCTACATCTGTATCCCAAGACCGTAAGTGAAACGGAAACACCTTGTGAGTATGTGATCTATATGCAATGGTCCATCGGACCATGCGAATCCACCAAACGTGCAATCAAAAACACCCGATGAAGCGACCGTAACACAACTTGTAGCTGGCCTGGATTCAACCACATTTGCACTTGAGTTTTCCCTCCACCTATTCTTATCCATTATCCAAGCAATTAAGTGATCCGGTGCTGTAAACTAGAATTTTAATTGTTACTTGAAGAATTATCGGGTTGTAAAACATTATGCCATCGAGTGACAGTAGGTTCAAAACACAATTGATATGAAATGCAGGAAAACTTGGAATGAGTAAAGTTGAATTGAATTTCATTGACAGATACGGATGATGTGATGTTGCGAAAACTAGCCTTTCATTCCTTTAGGGAAAAAAGATTTGTAATTGAGGCAAACTGAAGACATGAAAAAATATAGAGTTTCATTTTGTGGGGACATGATGAACTTAGCCGTTCTCCGACACAATGTGATCTTTATCGTGAATTCTGCGCATTTATTTATCTTTGACCCCCTTGCTCTAGTCCCAGACGTGATTGCAATTTCTATTAAAACCATAAGTGAACGTTTGTAAGCTGACTGACAGAATGGCAAATGGATGAATTAACATCGCTGAATAAATTGGTCATTCCCCTCGCTAGAATACGCCCTCAGCTTCGGGTAACAAACAAAGAAGCTCTGGTAAAATTGCTCCCTTAGTCTAATGAACAAACCAGCAATGGAATTGGCAAAAAATCAGCATCATAGAAGTACACGCTTAGTGGTGAAGTCTAGTGAAAGAGAGATGACAAGAAGGACATGCGGGATAATAACCAATACAATTTAGTTACAACTCACGATGTGGAGTGGAGGCAAACATCGGGATAGCACCCTGATCACTGTGATCCCCAGCACCTAACTGGGGATGCCGATTGGACGGAAGCGCTCTTTGAGGAGGCCGACGTAGTTCAATCATACTAGAACTGCGGCGTCGTAAATGATCTGCCAGAAGATCTTGTCCCTTTGAATCGGAAAACGAACGAGTAAACGGAAAGAGGACATCTTAAACTGCGCTTGTACAAACAATAAGCGAACCCGTAGAAAAAAGCCTCCGTGAATATATAACTGCCACTACATTGATGCTAAATAATCGATAGTATTCTGAAGGTAGCATAACTAGAAACAATGGATAAAACAGAAATATAACAGACAATATCAGTGTTTGGGTGGGAAAAAACAAGGAAAAACGGTAATCCGAACACTTTCGATGAACACACCTGAAATTGGGATGAAGTGTTAAATTGCGAATACGCCAATACTCGACTTCCGGCGATCGGAATAAATAACGACGCCCGTATCGGTCTCTGGAGGCTCCAATTAGGAGTGTATACAACACATTCTTATTAGTTCCACAAACCTGAGTTCTCTCCAAGAATTAGACCTCGGTTCCTTTCCTGCATGAATACCGTATTGCAACGCTAGGTTTCCCTGTTGTTAGTAAGAGTATTTTTTTTATCCCCAGCCAAAATATTCTTTCCACCGTTTTATCTAATCCTTTTGTAGTGCACTCGCGCATGGAGTGAAGCCTCGTCTTTCTCCCTGTCCCTCCCTGATGAGAATCAATTCGCCGTAACGGCGATCCCACCCTCACTTTCAAATTAGTGCCCAGTCTAACGCTGAGTAGTTGTTTCATCGTCTCTCTTTACCACGGTTTTTGTCCCTCTGTAATTGTTTCTACCAGGCCTGTTCACCTGGTTCTTCCACACCAGTCTCGTATTCAAACAGTCAACTACTCTATCCAAGTGAAGGTCCTACTTGTTTTCAACCTGCCTTTTTACTTGAAACTGCACGACTCTTGTGTAGCATGCTTCTTCCAACGCACTGCCCCT